TTTTTTACGGGGGAGTTTCCAAAGTCTTACAGTTTTTCTTTATTTACCTTTTAAAATCCGTTTAATTTTTTCAAATTAGCCACATTGTTGACAAATTAAAAAAATTACAAAAAAGGTAACCTTTTACAATTGTTTCAAATCTGGGGTACCAAACCACCCCAGTTTTTCGTTAGTCTATAAAAAAATCATATTTTAGTTCTAGGGTTAATATAAACTCGTACTTTTATTAAAGTTCCATTTACAATCGTGCGGCATTAAAACTGACCGCTACAGCGCTATGCGAGAATTTACGTTTTATTTTTTTTTCTTAAAAACTACTGGCTGTCCCACGATGAAAATTTCAGGACAAGTTCAACAGATTTATGGCTACAAATGGTAAAAAAATGATCAAAATTGAAGGTAGCATATTTTTTCTATGGCTTTTCAAAAAATTAAATTAGTTTTTTAAACAAAAAATTTAAATAATTTTTTTAATTTTAATTTTTTAAATAAAAGTATATTTCAATACGAACAATTTAAGAGGTCATAAACTTAAATCTGTTAAGAAGAAGCAGAGATATATATTTTTCAAAAAAAAGTACAAAAAAATTAAAAATCCAATATGTCCGCCAATTTTTGAAATTTATTAAAATCGCTTGGGGATTTTATTTATTACAACCAGAGGATATAATCTACCCAATTTCAACCGAATCCCAAAACCTAATAAAATTTGTTGTGTTGAACTGACGTGGAATAGGTACACCTCTCTAAAAAAATTTTTTATTGTATAAGCTACATAAATTGATAAAATAATTCCATTTTATAAAAATTTAACAATGAGAGTCGGCGTGGACATCCCATGATTTTACCATTAGTGGTCCATTATTGGGTGCCAATAATAATCCTAGAGAAAACCAATGGCTCCCAATATTGGGCCATTAATGCACCAATGGTAGACTAATGGCTATTTTCCATTGGGAATAAATAATATCGAAATTAGTTACCTATATAATAATAATAGAAATAGTAATAAAAAATTAAAATAAGTTAGATAAGCTATAGTATAAAATTTCTCACGATTGATTCGAAATATAAAGTGAAATGACAGATTAAAATATAAAAATGGTATTAAAAATTGCAATAAAGAAATAATATAAAAATGTCAATTAGAAATTTGAAATATAGACGCGATATAATAAAACCGTAGCTAATAAATATAGATTAAAATATCAATCATCCCGAGTGATGGTAAAAAAAACTTATAAAATATTAAAGAACAAGAATTTAGTACAATAATTCTTCTCTACTAAAGAATGATATAATTGAAATAAAAAAGTGTGTATAATTAATTAAGTGAATTTAAATCAAGTCATGTGTATGTGTGTGTCAATATGAACATTGTGTGACATTTGTGTCAAAGGGAAAAAAAGAAACAAGGATATTTTTATAATGAAATAAGTGAAGCATAACACGCCACCGCCATTTCCTCCCATTTAATCAGTGCCTTTCCGTAAATCACTTAGTAATTAAAAGAGGGCATCGATAAAGGTGGCTGTACGGCCTAATCCATTTCGCGGACCTCTCGTGTATATAGTCAAACGCAATGGGGTAGAAGGGTGAAAGAGCATGGAGGGGGTGAATGTAGAAAAAAGGTCGTAGCCTTTCTAATTTAATCTGGTGAATGATTCCGTGATTCTCGAACACGGCGGCGGACACAACCCTTTCATTACTTAGTTTCCACCCTACGGGTCACCCTCTGCAGCGCCAACAAACTAACCCCCCTACGCAACACTAAATCAGCGACCAGTGTAATTTTTGTAATGGGAGGTGTGGCCTTGCAGGGATAGTCGTACATTGGTGGGGTAACATTTTCAGTCAAGTGGGGATATTCACCCCTCTTTTGCACAAAGGTTGGGGAAGTTTGATGGTTTGGTAGAGGGAGACAGAGAGGGAGGAAAGGGGTTAAATCCACAACGTTAAGAGCGCTCGTCTGTAGCTATTTCAACTTCCGGAACAAGTCGATTTGGCTCATGACTCCACTTGCGCTTTCTTAATTTACTCTGTATTCTCTATTTTCTTCTATGAGCGGATTTAATTTATTTTTCGTGAGTCTTTCTTTTTCATGTTTTTTTTATTTTTAACTTTTATTATTATTCACTATATTATTTTACTCTCTTTTGACAGTTTATTAAATGTTTATTACTATGTTATGAGCGTGGAGATTTATTAATTACTAATATATAAAGTACTAATGTTAAGTCTTAATTACTAACAATAGTTATTATTAATAGAACTTAGGTATTCCGAAAATAGGGAAATTAATTCCGGAAATAGTAAAAATTTACAAAATTAATGAGTAGACAAAATAAAACAAAAAAAAAAGGAAATTATTGAATACAATTTTTTTAAGAATAAAAAAGACATATCACAACATAATATTTTACTTTAGGCATAACAAAGGCATATTATGGTCACTCTTCGCCACCTGTGCCGGTGCATGCCAAGTTCCTACATGTAGCTGGTCAATAAATTATTACGCTAGGTTAATGATGAGTTCTTTATTGATCTGTGACAATCGGTCACACATTATTGATATCCATTATTTTCCTAGGGTAATAATGGGTACTTTATTGACCGCTGGGCTATAAAAAGGAATATTTTATAATATTAAACAAAAAATCAAATAGAGTAACGTTTACTAATCATACTGAAATTTACTTTTGGAAAATAGTTAAATATTCCTTTAAAAAATAGTAAAATTCTCTTAAAAAATAGTAACATTTATTCTGTAATTATTAAAAATTATAAATAGCTTAAGAACTAAAAGAAAACTTTTTTCTCATCAATTTATTGCAAATTAAGACTTAATTTTGGGAATTTTTTGCTGAAATTCAATAACTTGTAATTTAACAATAAGTTGTAATTCGACCACTATAAATTTATTAGTAATATTTATCGATTGAAACTAATTTTTATATGTTTCTCGTATAAATAGAAGTTATAAATAATATTTAGCAGTCTGCACATGGTGATTAACAATTTGTTGTTATTAATTAATTCTTGTTTATTAATATTTAGTCATTTCTTGCTAATGTTTAGAAGCTTATTTCTATAATTAACCAATTTCTTTTACTAATATATAGTAGATTAACTTATATTTTATATTTACTAATATTCATTAGTATTTTGTTTAGTTTCATTAGTTTTTTATATTTGGTAAATTAAAACTAAATATTAGTCAAATAACTACACTCTAAATCTGAATCAGTGGAAATTACACTGAAAATCATAGTAAAACTTCAATTTTTACAAAAACGCTACGCTGACAGACAGCACTGGCATAACTCTGGGATGATAACGCTGTCTAACGCTGGCGAAGTACTGCCTGCCAGTGCTGCCAGACAGCGCTGGCGCAGCACTGGACCAGTGCTGGCTGAGAATATTGCCGCAATAAATGCCGTATTGTTATTAATTAGTCGTAAATTAATAATTATAAATAATTTAACAACAAAATGGTAAATAATATTAATAAATAGTTATTATTCATAATATATTTACTCTTCTTAAAGAAATTGTATTAAAGATGGAGACTAACAATGGATATATAGTAAATGAAGTAGAAAAAAATTGTTTATAACATTTAAAAATTAAATAATAAACAATTACAGTAAGTGTGCATTAGATTTTCATATTTTAGTACCTAACTAAATTTTTAATAATTAAATTACTTTACTTTACTTATTGCATTTAACATTTTACGTAATTCTTAAATTATGTGGTAATTTTTTAATAATTTTTTATTCATAGTAAAAAGTATAATAGTATTTTAATAGGAACCAAATTATTATTGAGATTAAAGTTTAAATTTTGTTTATAATTTTAATTTGCTTAAATAATTTATTATTTACAAAATTAGACAATTATGTTAAATTATTATTATTAAATTTAATAAAAATAAAAATGAACAACTGAAAAGTAAAATATTAATTTTTTTCAATAAATTTATATTTTTAAACATTCATAAACTTTTTTTATAATTTTTTTCAAGTTTATGTCAAAAAAGCAATGTTGGCAAAGAGCGTCGTGAACAATTTTTCTATACTCAGCCAGCACTTGCCGCCGTGGCTTGTCCAAGCTTTGGCGAAACAAAAATTCTGTACTGCGCCAGCACTAATTGTCGAGGCTCGGCTAGACTACGCCGAACAATCGTCTGAGTACTAAGCCAGTGGTGAACATCGACACTACACTGGCATTTCCCATTGGGTGTTATAGGTAATAATAAAAAATAAACATTATTAAATTAAGTTATACAAAATTTGCAACATTTTTATATAAATACAACAATTTAGAAACGTGAAAGAATTAAAAAAAATATTTGCCAACAAATGGGAAATTTATCTGAAGGAAAAAAGTTTAAAAAAACAAAATTTCGAAGCATTTCAATTGTGCATATATTAGGTATTTTTAAATGATGATAAAAACTATTATAAACGAAGCTCTCCTTATTATATTCCGTGCATAATCCTCTTTTTGAATTCTAAAGCTAATAAGCCTATTAAATGTAAATGTAAAGATCGACTTTCCAGATGCAGCAGCTGGACGTACTATTTATACAGATTAGCTATTTTTATATAACGCACAATATAATCGGTTTTTTATTCAACACATTTTCTTCTCGTGTGTTTTCCATCAAAAGCATTGACCCTCCAACTCTTCAACACAAACACACACGTGTTTATATTATATATGTCGCGCTTTAAATCGCGTAACTGCACCCTTGATCGAAAAGAAGGGGGGTATAAATTGCGCTGTATATATATAAAGTGGTGGGGGAATTATCTCCATATGGCGGGTGGTGGTAGAGGAGTTGAGTGAGTGGAGGGGATGTGAATACCCCTCGAGGGGTAGCGAAACCAGACGAAGTGGGGATGGCGTGTCGCTAAAGAGGGGATCGTGAGGGTTAGAATCTTTGGTGGGGTGAGTTTATCACTGTGGTGGCGTGCCGTCGTCGCACGCGACAGTATACTACCGACTGCCGCAGCGGCTGGTTCTCGAGAATACTCTCGTTCAAAGTATTCTTTCATTCCAAAAAAAACTCACAAAAATAAAAACGTTTTCGTGTAACATTCAAAGATTTTATTACAATTTTTCCACTAAGTCGTTGATAACAATTCTCTTTATCATCTTAAGAAGAATTCTATTGTTTTTAAGTTTCTTTCTTTTTGACGAAAAATAGAAATTTTACTCGTCCGCGTGGAATAACAACTTGTGTGTTTTGTTGCAAAAAAAGAAGTTATATTTCTTGTTGATTTGCTTGTGTTGTTGATTATTTTTGTTATTGTTATTGTTGTTATTTTGTATAGTGAAGTGGGATTTTTATTTTTCGATAGAGAACGCACAGAAATCAAAATTGCTCCGAACGTGAAGGCTGCACATGATTCGACAACGGATCCAGGTAATTGATACCACGTGGAAAAGTTAATGTTGATTTTTCTGTCGGACTTTTTTTTCTTTCTATTAAAACTTTTGTTCATTAGCCAGTGATAGTTAACAGTTAATTAGACAACTATGATATGCATATCATTAACAGTTCACTGTATAAAATGAACAAGTATATTATGAATTTGACATCAAATTGTTATTTGTGTTTTATTTATTATTATCATTTACCATCGAAGTTAATTTATTATTTTAATAATGAATAGTTACAATTTTTATTCCATTTTGAAAAGAATGCTTGTGAAATTAAGTGAAAACCAATTTTACTATAAGTATACTATTACTTATAATTATTAACTTTTTCTACTATATTAAATTACTAGTAAACATTAGTAGTAAATACCGAGGTAAATACTGAATATAATAGTAATAACTTAATATTAATAGTAATTATTGAATATTAGTAGTAAATTGAAAATATTAATAGTAAATCCTACTTAATATGAGTAATAAATACTAATAGTATTTAGTAATTTTTGACAAGATTTAGTACTTTGCTACCAACTGTTACTTATATACTATCATAATACAATACTAAATGATTGTAAAAGTTACTAAATCCTAAATTCGATTTGTAAATACAACTAAATAATAGCGCTAAACATTAGAAGTATTTATTAATTTTTACTATAATATTTTGTGACTAATTACTAACATTTATCACTTATAGATAATTCTAAGTAATTGATACTATAAGAAAATATATTTCACTAAATGAACTAATTGTAATTAAATTTTAATTCAATTGTTTTGTACAACCGATAACCGGTGTTTCGCAGTAGAAAAATTTTTCATAGCAAGACGTCATTATTAATTTTTAAAATTCATTTTGAAATATCTTCTTATTCTGTGACTAAAGTTCGTGGGAAAAAATTTTTTTTCACAAGAAACGAATATTTTTTTAAGTATTCTAAAAAAAGTGTAGTCCTTTTTTTCTTTTTCTTTCTCGAATGTTTAGTGGATTATTTGTCTCGTGTGTGTATATGTGTAGCGCTAATTACAAGTGACATTCAACACTTTTGTCCCTGTATGGTTTCCGTCATCGATACGGATTCCTTAAAAGGTTCCTCTCTCTCTCTCTTTCCTCTCCACTTCGCAGTGATGTGTTGTTGTATATACATATATATACATATAGTATATATACCTTCTCGTTAAGACATTTCTGCATTGCGTTACTATACACAGCAGACGAGAGGGTTCAGAACTTTGCAAATCTCATTTGACCTTAATCAGATATTGGAATTTCGTGCTTTGAAGTTAACTTGCAATTCAAATTTAACGATCATAATTAGCTCTCCGGAAAAGGAACATAGTCTCATTAAACTTTTACGCCCGAAGTCACGTTATTAATTAAAAATGCAATGTGTTGCTTTGGCAAAATTATTTATATATATATATATAAAGCTTAAATAGGATATATATATATAATATTGGAGGCAGGGCTAAATTTTATTACAAATAAATATATTTACAATATATTAAATAAGTACAAAAACGTATGAGCATTTAATCTCTTGTATATAAAGCAACTGCTGTCAAATAATAGTTTCCACTGAGCATTCAATTCAATTCACTTTACTTTTAATTAATTAAAATAAGTTAATATTTAATTAGTACAAGGAGAAATGTAATTGATTTTAATTATTACGGAAATTAATTAATTCAAATTAATTAATAATAGTTCGTTCTTTCTAATAAATGAAATAATTATAATGTATAATGGTTAATGAAAACATTTTAATTATGCACAAAAAAGAAATTTTATTAAAAATAAAAAAATATATCGAATAAATAGGGGAGACTGGGGCGAAAAATTAAATTTTGCATAAATGATTTTTTTTTGGCAATATAAGCCGCTTAGATGCAAATATTTGTATATCAATATTGTAGGGCAACTTGTCCTCTACAACTTTCAATAAAAAAGTTCCTGATATTTTAGCAAAAAATACATGTTTTCTCCTTTTTTGAAAATTTTGTTTTTTTTAACTTTTCGCCCCATGCTGGGGCGAAAAGTTAAATTCTATTTTTAGCATACTAAAACTATTTTCTGATAGGTGATAAATAGTAGATAAGTTAAAGTATACGTAAACAAGTAATTTAGTAAATAAAAGATATTTGTTTATTTGACAAAAGCTTTAGAATAGTTGTAAAGTTAAAAAATTGAAATTTCAAAAAAAAAAAAAAATTTTTTTGGTTTATTTCATTTGAACCGGCTTATTTTTTGACAGAGTACTTGCCAAATGTTAAATAAATAATGTTTAAACAAATAAACCCAAAAAAACGAAAAATAAAAAAAAATTTTTTAACAACATGTAAAAATACATTTAACTTTTCGCCCCAGGGTGCGTTTTTGGCTTTAACAACAAATATAAAAAATCTGACTAAAGATATTTAGAAAATACATGTAGGTATCTCTTCAGGGGACCCAAATAATGAAGTAAAAAAATCGCGGTGAGAAAAAATGCAAAAAATATACTTAAAAGTTGATATTTTCTTTTTCGAACAAATTTTCAAAAGTATAGATTGAAAAAAAACTTTTAATATTGACACCACAAAAATAAACAGAATTGCACACAACTCCGGACATTTATTTAGGGTGATAACACCCTTCTATAATTAAAATTGCAATGCTCTAACTATTTTCGTTCGAAAGATAATGAATTTTAACGGTTTTGGCAGTTTAACTTTTCGCCCCAGTCTCCCCTACACATTAATTTTTTTATAACTTAAATGTCAAAAAAGTAGGCACAACTTTACTCAGTTTAATTAAATTACATTATATTTAAAATTTACAATTGTATAAAATTTATTAAAAATTTCTTTACAAAATTCATTTTATACGAGAGCCTATGTTAAACAGTTAAAATCTTTCGAATGGAAATAGTTATAGAGCATTGCAGTTTTGACTATATAGAAGGGCCTTATAAGTTATAACTCTAAATAAATGTCCGAAGTTATGTGACATTCTGTTCATTTTTTTGATGTCCATAATATGAAGTGTGTTTTGAACCTACCTTAATTGTAAATGTTTACGTAAAAGAAAATTTCAACTTTTAAGTATATTTTTTGAATTTATTCTTATCACTATAAGTATTATAGCCTATACTTGGGTCCCCTGAAGATGTACCTATAAAGGTATTTGCTAAATACTTTTAGTCAGATTTTGTATATTTGTTGTTAAAGCCAAAAACGCACCCCGTTAAGTGTATTTTTCCCATGTTTTTTACATTTTTCGTGTGTTTCGGGTTTATATGTTAAAAAATTATTTATTTGACATAAGGCAAGTACGCGGCCAAAAAACGAAACCGCTCACGTGAAATAAACCCATAATTTTTTTTATTTTGAAATTTTAATTTATTAACTGTATATATAACTGTTCTAAAGCAATTGTTAAATAAACGCATATATTTTATTAACTAAATTTGAAAAAGGACAAAACATGTATTTTACGCAGAAATATCAGAAACTCTTTTATTGAAAGTTTGTTGAGGACAAGATGTCCCTGTCACAAATTATATTTGCATCTAAGCGGATTTATTGACTAAAAAAACATTTTTGCAAAATTTACCATTTAGTCCCAGTCTCCCCTATGTATTAAATCAATTAAAAAATTAAAATTAATTAAATTAATCTAGATTAGTTAAAAATAAGCATTTGATAGTAAAATCTTGTCTGACTTTTTGTTCTCTCAAAATTGGACAAAGAGAAATTAATATATTAGTCAAAAGAATAACTAATTTTGATTGGGGTACAAAAGTTCCAAAACGGAAGTTCCAATCGAAAAATTCCAAGAAAAAAGTTCCAAAATGAAAAGATCCAAAATTTATTTTTCCAAATTACAAAAGTTCCAAAGTCCAAAATGTCCAAAATATAAACCAAAGTGTGAAATTTCCAAAATAAAAAGTGTTGAATTGTTAAATAAGTGAAAAGTATTGGAGTTGTTTGAAAAAATAAGGCATCTCCAAGATTTCACATTTTTTCTATCTGAATGCTTGTAATACAGAAATCCTTCGATATGTAAATAATTTTTTTCCGACTTGTATTAATTCTACCATAATTAAAATTTACAATTAATATAATTTCACTGTTCACTATTTTATAGTTTAAATAAAATTTTAAATTAAAATAAAATTTTTAATTTGACTAATTTACAATTTAATCAATATAATTTCACTGTTCACTATTTTATAGTTTAAAAAAAATTTCTAATTTTACTAATTTACAATTTAATATAATTTCACTGTTTACTATTTTTAAATTTGAAAAAAAAATTTTAATTTCACAACTTAATTTTGGAATGAGCACACGTTGAATGAAATTTTTGATTTGAAATTTAAAAAATAAAAGAAAACAATGTTTGGAAAAAACGACTATTGGAAAAATAATACTTTGGTAAAAATGGCCTTTAGAAAAATAATACTTTGGAAAAAATATCATTTGGGAAAATAATAATTTGGATCCTTCGGAATTGGAACTTCTGTTTTGGAACTTTTGACTCCATACCTTATACACACAAAAAAAATATGGTAAATTTGACTACTTTTTTACTATTTCCTGTAGTTCCTATAGGCGCCCGTAACATTATTTAGTAAAATGAACTATGACAGAATAGTTAGTCTAACTGTAAAATGTAGTAATAAATACCATTTTTACAGTAAATTTAACTACTAAAACAGTTATCTTAACTATTTGTTGTTAGTCATACTAACTGCTTCATTTAGTTGCAGTAACTAAATTTTCATAGTTCCTATAGGCGCCCGTAACAAATTGTAGTTGTAACTGTAAAAAATAGTTAAATTAACTATTTAAAGTAGTAAAATGAAATTATTTATTTGTTTTTTATTATTATTGAGGTCCATTTTTTTATATTTTCTCTTACCTATTTTTGTTCATATATAATTTATATATTAAGGGGGGCGCCTACTTTAGAAGGTAAAAAACTGCGTACATTTCAGG